TTGCTTGACTAACAGGTAACCTTGGTGGCTTTATCAGGCAGTGGGAGTAAAAGGTGGCCTATTGTTCTCATCTGGAGATCTTAGTGTTTTGTTTTTTGAATTTTTAATTACATTTTTATTCATTTGTGTGTGTATGTGTGGGTACACACAGTCAGAGGACAATTTGTGAGAATTGGTTATATACTTTCTACCATGTAGGTCCAGGGGATCAAACTCAGGTCATTAAACTTGGAGGCAAGTACCTTTACCTAGTGAGACATCTTCCCTGGCTTGGTTTTGCTTTTTGTTTTTTTTTTCCTTTTTTTTTCACACAAGGTTATGTAGCCCAGGTTGACCTTGAACTTCTTTCCCTACTGTCTCTATCTCTCCAGTGCTAGGATTTCAAGTGTCCCCAGCATACCTGAATTTAGGTTTTGTTGTTTATTTGTTTGATTTTGTTTCATTGTTGTTGTTTTTGTTTGTTTATTTGTTTTTCAGAGATAGGGTCTCACTATATAGCCGTGGCTGTCCTGGAACTCATTCTGTAGACCAGGCTGGCCTAGAACTCACAGAGATCTTCATGCCTCTGCCTCTCGAGTGCTGGGATTAAAAGGGTGAGACACCATGCCCAGCCAAGGTACTTAGTTTTATAATCTGAAACCAACATCATCATTTCCTAGCTCTGTGTTCAACAATACTGGGATCAAACATGTCTTTCTGTTCCCACAATCTACAATTCTGGGACCTGGTAAACTTTCCCTTTTCTGATGGACCAGCCTGACTCCATTTTAAGATTAGAAGCCATCTTATTACAAGGTCAAAATAAGTTCATTCCTGTTTTCTGTAAAACTTAAATTTGATCAGGTCTTGACCAATTTTCTGAAATTTCACGTTCCACACCCTATACCCTAACCTCCACCCTGATAAGATGTTCTGCCAAATGATTTTGAAATGTTCTCCCAAGTTTCTGTAACCAAAAAACCCTTGAAAACCCCTAGCCTTGCAGTTTTGGGGTTAATATAAACCCTACCTTCTCCTGTGTTTAATGCTATTTTCTCAGACCCCACTTTAGGGAGATAGCCCTGTCTGACAAAATAAAGCTTGCATAATTTGATCAAAGAATTTGGGTAATGGTCTTTACTCTTGTTTGGTGGAATTAACAAAACTCCAAGAACTAGCAAATTAGCTTCCGGGGACAGGAAATTCTTGCCTAGAAAGATAAGGCTTAGATGGACCAATCCAAAGCAGTCCTGTTAGAAGTTCTACCTCCCTTAGGTCTCACTAACCTCAAAATCCCACCTACTTCTCAAAGGCTCCTGGGTAGTTCCTAGCATGATTTCTTCAGCTTTAAACACTGTTTTTCCCTGTGGATGTGAGTCCAATAAACTGACTACTTGGCTTCATTTGTAAATATTTCTGATGGTCATTTTGGAGAGTCTATACTCAAGACCTCAGTTGGGAGAAGGGGATTGGGCGGATCCTCCTCAGCATCTCTTAGTGGCTCTGCTGGCTACTGATAGATTCACAGAATAGGGTCCAAAGCTATGTGGACATGAAGCAGGGGTAGATGCAGCACAGGGCTTTTCAGGAATAGGGGAGATCCATCTCTTCTCACGGAGCTTGCTTAAGTGAAAGCTGTCATTATCTCATGTAAGGTGAGAACAATCTGTTCTTCAAGCTCATGCCTGTAACCCCAGCACCTAAAGAGGTTTAGGCATGGTTGTCCAAGACTTTGAGACCAGCTTTCATGGGATGCAGAATGAGACCCTGTCTCAGAAAAAAAAAAAAGCAAGCAAACAAACAAAAAAGGTGCCTGTTAATTTCCTTCTTAACCCAAGATTCTTTTATAAGGGGGATTTTTGTTTTGTTTTGTTTTCAGTAGGTTTTCCAGGGAGAGGCTATTTATTACATTCTCTTGGTTAATCTGTTTTCCTTAAATTGTGGTCAGGAATATTATCTAGTTTCCACTTTTTAAAATTCATTGGTCTTTTGTTTGTGGTCTACTACATGGTTGTTTCCTGTTTCATATATGTTTGAAAAGATTGTGTCTCCTCTGTTAGATATTAGACATAGTTCTTTATGTGTATCTGACAGCTTGATGCTGTTCTTCAAGCAGTTAAAAACACTGCTCTTGCAGAAGACCCAGATTCGGTTCCCAGCACCCACATGGTGGTCCACAACTGTCTATAACTCCATTTCTAGGTGATCTGACACTCTCTTCTGGCCTCTGCAGGCACTAGGCATAAATGTGGCACACATATATACACATAAAATAAAAGTAAATTAATTGAAAATAAAGAAATAAAATAATCGTGATGTATATAAAAGCTTTTTAAGGCTTATGTGCAGGCCAGAGCTGTTAAAAATTAGTCAGTTTCTCTGTAGAAAGTATCAAACCAGAATAATGTTACCAACCAGAAGAGAATATTTCAACATAAATGCATAGACCAGGATTATAGACATGAAAATGTGCAAAGAACTGGTTCCACTATTAAGAAGAAAGTGCATACTAAGGAAAATCAGACTAAGGGTTAAGTACGTGAAATAAAAGGTCAGTGAAGACAATGAAGGGAAATGGGAATGTAGCTGAATTAAGAAAGTGCTTACCTAATATCTTCACAAGGCCCTGGGTTCAATCCCCAGCACCACACAAACCAGGTGTGGCAATACAAAGCACTCCTTAGGAGGCAAAAGAATCAGAACTTCAAGGTCACCCTCAACTCCATAGGGAGCTGGAGACCAGCCTGGGCTACAAGGAAACCTTGCCCCCAAACAGCAACCAAATAGGCAAGGATATATGAGAATGCCACAAGGAAACCTGGTAATTTTTTTGTGTTGTTTTGTTTGGTTTTCTGAGATAGGGTTTCTCTGTGTAGTCTAGGCTGTCCTGGAACTCAGTCTGTAGACCAGGCTGGCCTCCAACTCACAGAGATCCCCCTGCCTCTGCCTCCCGAGTGCATGGGTCATTATGCCCACTGAAACCTGCTATTTTGTAAACTGATTAAAAGAGAAGAGGTGGGAGAGGGAGAGAGGGAAGGAGGAAGAGAGAGATGCCCAAACCTCTGACAACATGCAAATAAAGAACAAGAATGTGCTTTTTAACTTTCTAAATTTGCAAAGGTGATCCTTTTGCTACTGCCTAATGTTTTGGAGGTCACTATGACTACATCTACTAAGAGCCAACATTCTCTTAGGAGTTTAGGTAAGGCTGGACAGTAAAAAGAAAGCAGGCAACATGGCGGCAGCCTGGGAGCTGCTTCTGACCCGAAGCTGGCTTCACTGCTGGCTTGCTCAATGGTTGCCTTAGAAACAAGTTGGGGAGAGGAGGAGTCGGTTATCTCCTGTGGCCATAAGACAGTGACTCAGCAGAAAACCCAACCCAAGAGGGAGGCCTCCAGTCACTGCTTTTGCCTGACTTTAATTCTCTCTGAGACAAACAACAGTAAGGGCATATTTCCAGTGTGACATCTGCTGTCTTGTCGAGATGACTTTTTAAAATGAATAAAGGAAAGATTCCAGCCTTCCCTTGTAGTTTCTAAATGAACTGAATCACTTCCCTCTTTTGTCCCCCAGTTTACAGCACCTTCCAGGGCCAGGCTGTCCTTATCTCTACTTAATATGCAGCCTCTGACTGCAGCTTCATTCTAGACTCTCCTGCTGACAGTGTGAAACCAGCTTCCTTTTACAAGGGCTTGTTCAAGACTGCTCCAGCAACTGGTGTCCTATAGATCACAGTATGGCTCTAACAGATTTTTAGGGGGAAAAAAAGGAGGAGGAGGAGGAGGAGGAGGAGGAGGAGGAGGAGGAGGAGGAGGAGGATTAGAAGAAAGAAATGAAACCAAAAATTACTATCCCTGTTGCTGAGTCTCAATCATATTTAAACTGAGAAAGCCAGGCAGGTGATGCCTGCCAATAATCCTAGCATTTAGGAAGTAGAGGCAGGAGGATCAGGAGTTTGAGGCCAGCTCTGGCCAACCCTATCTCAAACAAAAACAACTAAACCCTAGGAATAAACAATTCAACTGAGAGAAACTAAGGGACCCAGATTTGATTCCATGTCCTTCTGGTTTGACTGGGGCCAGATCTGTCAGTTGAATTGTTTATTCCTAGGGTTTCAAAGGGAAAGTTTAACATCTGAGATTGAAAGGACAAAGACTAGTTTTGGGAAGTGACCCTTGTTTCATATTTATATTCAAGTGTGACATGAGCCACTGCCACCTCCCATCAGAGAGACCATAGTGGCCCAGAGGTGCAGGCCTCAGAGATTTGAGAGTTTAATGGGAGAAATAAAGCATTTGGAAGAAAATCAAATGTGAATTAGTTACTTCTGTTGTTATCACAAAACACCTGACAAAAATCAATTTATGGAGGCAGGGTTTTATTTGGCTCGTGGTTTAAGGATGCAATCCATCATGGAAGAGAAGATATGTTGGCACAAGCATGAAGCAGCTGGTCACATTGAGTCCTAAATCAGGAAGCACAAAGAGGTGAATTCTGTTGCTCAGCTAGTGCTGGCTGCTCTGTTTCTCTCCCTCCCTCCCTGCCTCCCTCCTTCTTCTCCTCTTTCTCTCCCTCTTCTCCCTCCCCTTTTCACTCAATCTAGGACCTCAGTTCATGGAATGGTGCCACCTCCATCCAGGTGTCTTCTCTCCTTAATTAAACTTCTGTGGTAATGCCATTATAGATACTTCCAGAAGTGTAATTCTTACATGATTTTAAACCCTGTCAAGCTGACAATCAGGATTAATCATCACAAGAAATGTACTGGTTATTTGGTGTTGGAATTTCAGTAACTTCTAGAGACTTTTTTTTTTCTTTTTGCTTTAGGAGTTCAAACCCAGGGGGCCTTATACAAGCTTTACCATTGTGTTGCACTTCCCAAACTGGAACTTCTGATTCTGGACATGCTATAGTACTTTACACCAGTCTGACACTGAAAAAGTTATAGGTGTTGTTTTTAAAAATGATAAGCAGTGCTGGTTACCGTTTGGAAAGGTCATGAGGCATGAGCCACGACAAAACCCAGTATCAGAGCTTTATTAGGAGGAGGGGGGACAAAAGAACCAGACCTGGGGAAGAAGCACATGCAGAGAGCAGAGAGAGAGAGAGAGAGAGAGAGAGAGAGAGAGAGAGAGAGAGAGAGAGAGAGAGAGAGAGAGAGAGAGAGAGAGAGAGAGAGAGAGAGAGGAGGAGGAAAGAACAGAGAGGAGACAGGAGGAGTCTGTGTCCGGCTTTTTAAGGATTCCCGTGAACATGCGCAGGTAGGCTTACGAAGCTACCCCTCACATGTGCAGATTGCATGACCATGCCACGTGCAAATAATCACCAGTGTGCAATGATGACGTAAGACACAGACCCCTTGCTTAGCTCCTGAACTGCATATGTGCGGTCATGCACCTGGAGTGGGGGGCAGAATCCTAACATTTCGGACTTTTTGCTTATTATGAAAAAGCAGGTGAACAGGAATAGGTGCGTCGTTTCTCCCAGAAAAACTACTTCCAGCTGACTTGGTGGGTGTCAGTTGACTCTTGGGGGGTAGGGAAGGGGGCTTCTGAGGTAGCAAGCTGTCCTGGGGTCGTCTGCTGCTTTTGGGTGCTGTCCAGGTGGATCCAAGCTGGTTCCGGAGCTCACTGACTTGTCCAGGTGGATTTTCTAGAGCTTGGAAAAATTTTGAACATATTAAGAAGCTGGTGTTAGGGTTAGGGTTAGGGTTAGGGTTAGGGTTAGGGTTAGGGTACTAAAGTGTAGTGTTTAGTACTCTGCTTATATTGGTTAGTGTTAATGAGAGAGAGAGAGAGATTGAAACATGTTCTTAATTTTTACCTGAGATAGGCTTTATCAGAGACAGGTTATTTTAAGGCACCTGTTTCCCTTATTAGTTTAGCATCCAGGAGACACAGGTGATCAATTGCTGAGAGCATTTAACAGTAATAGATGGTTCTATTAAAGTCTGTTTTTTTTGCAGAGCCCACATCTTTTTGGTCTGGGGGTGTAAATACCTTTTAACTGTTACTGTTCCTTTACCACCTGGGTATATTTTTGATGGTCCTTGGATTCCAGAGCTATGGTGATCCTGTAACAATTAGCTGAGTAGTTAATTAGGAGAGGGAAACAGGAAGAGAAAAGCTTGTGGGGTAAGACCTCATTCTTCTGGAATTGGGGACAAGGCAGTGGATCCTGAGGTCCTCTGGAACATGAGAGAGATCAGGGCCCTATCTGTGTCACTGTGCACGAGGAGGAGAAGCACTGCTGACAGGTCTGGAGTGAGGCACATGGAGGGAGCAAATGAAATGAAAGCTCCTACTTTAGCTGGAAAATCTTTTCCCATTAAGTACTCCTGAAAGTACAATTAAGTCTGGTGAGGTGGGTAAGGCTGTCCCTCTACCCCGACAATAGGGAAATGAGGAGAGGTGGGACCCCAAAACTCCCTCAGGACTGAGTAAGTGGCTCCGGTGTCCAGAAGGAAGGAGATGGGTTGCCCAGATATTATTATTACTACCCTGGGTTCCCTGTATGAGATGGGAGTAGCGGGGCTGGGAACTGGGCAGCTTCAGTCATTGCTGAAGGCTAAGCCTAGGAGGTCAGCTGGAGGGTGGTCCTGATCTGATGTCCCCATGCTGCTAGGTACACTGGGGCAGTCAGCTGACCAGTGACCCTTCTGGCAGCATTTTGGGCAAGGCCCTATTGGTGCCCCTGTGGGGCAGTGGTGCAAACTCGAGCCCCATGGCCTTCTTTCCCACACTTAAAACAGGGCCAGTGGCTTTTGGGGAGCCAGTTGGATAGCCTGTGTCAGCATTTGGCAGTTTCTTTATTGGGCTTTTTCATCTCTCCCATGGTACACTTTAAATGCCACCACTAACACTCCTGCCTGTGGGGTCAGGAGCCTTGCTCTCCAGATGCTTAAGTTTTAGCCCTAATGTCAGGGAGCTCTGGGAGACAAGGGATGGATTTTATTCTGTGTCTTGAATTTTTTTTTTTTTTTGATAGTTTGGTGGCTTGAGGACAGCTTTAGGAAGACCTGCCAGGAGGCAGGCTGTAAACTGATCTCTGGCTAAAGAGCCATCCAGATTATTGTGATCCCCATGTGGGTCCTGATTGTAAACTTATCTGCATGCATCCTAGCCTGCTTCCAGACCTGTCCGTGCTTAGCAGCCCACCTGGTACCGGAGAACAGAGTGAAGAACAGAAAAGTAAGGTTCTTTGAAGTCAGAGATTCCTTAGGTTCAGGAATGCACATAGGCAGGAGAGAGAATCAGAAAAGGAGGGTTTAGAGCTTAGGTAAAAGCATGGGGATAAGGTAACTCTTTCCATTTGTCCCTTTGCTGGCAGAAGTTAGATAATTCCCGTGAAATATCAGGGTTCAAGCAGCTGTTACGTGGCCAAACTTCCTGGTATCTATCTGGGGATATTTAAGGCATTTTTAAGAGGAGTGGAACCACGAGGAGGAAGCCTCCATGTCCCATGACTGCAGCCGAGAGAAAAAAAAAACAAAAAATTAAAATAACAGCCGGGCGGTGGTGGCGCACGCCTTTAATCCCAACACTCGGAAGGCAGAGCCAGGCGGATCTCTGTGAGTTCGAGGCCAGCCTGGTCTACAAAGCGAGTTCCAGGACAGGCTCCAAAGTTACAGAGAAACCCTGTCTCGAAAAACCAAAAAATAAAATAAAATAACAAACAGGATCCCAGGCTTCTATCTCAAGGTTCCTTGAGGATATGTAGTCTGTGGACCAGCACTAACAGCACAAGTTACCTGAACCATCATGGAAGGGGCAAGGGCTGGGGGGGGGCATACATACTGGAGGACTCCCCGGGAGTCTAGACAGCATTCAATACTTCTTCAAGAGAAAATGTGTGTCGTGGTATGCAGCCGAGGACCCCCTGGGGGTCTGGGGCGAGGAATGTATCTCAGGCTACAGTTCGCGAAATGTCAAGGGATCAGAAAGAGGAAACTCACCAACCTGGTTATCAAGTGTGGTTTGCAGAGCGATCAGGCAGCTGGGCAAATGGAAAAAGCCGAGCGGGCAGTCGCAAGTCCAATAAACCTCCGTACAGGATCCTGGACGCAGAGCCCCGACGCAGGCGCTGGAAGAGCCTGTGTCGTCACAGCATCAATGTTGTTTTTTAAAAATGTTAAGGGGCACTGTTTACCATGCGGAAAGGTCATGAGGCATGAGCCATGACAAAACTCAGTATCAGAGCTTTATTAGGAGGTGGGGGGGGGGGGGGACGACAAAAGAACCAGGCCTGGGGAAGAAGCACGTGGAGAGAGAGACAGAGACAGAGACAGAGACAGAGACAGAGAAGAGATAGTGGGGGGAGGAGAGAACAGAGAAGAGAGAGGAGGAGTCTGTGTCCAGCTTTTTAAAGGATTCCCATGAACATGTGCAGGTGGGCTTATGGAGCTACGCCACGCATGAGCAGATTGTGTCACCATGCTGCACACATGTAATCACCTGCGCACACTGATGATGTAAGACTTAAGACCCCTTGCTTAGCTCCTGAACTGTGCATGTGGGGTCATGTAGCTGGAGTGGGGGCAGAATCCTAGCAATAGGATTGTTTCTCTTTCCTTTGGTGTGTGAGGGGGTGCTGACACAGGATTTTGATGTATAATGGGCTGATCTTGAACTCCAGCAGTTCTTCTGCCTCAACCTCCAAGGCATGAGCTACCTGTCTGGCAGGGCACTGGGGTTTTTGTTGCTGTTTTGTTTCGAAACAAGGTCTCATGAAGTTCAGGGTGCCCTCAAACTGGTTTTGTAGCGAAGAATGACCTTGAGCTCCTTCCAGAACCTCCACCTCCCAAGAGTTAGGATTTCAAGTGTGTGTCACCTCACCAAGCCTGGCCAGGATATTATCTTTTGAACTGAGGGCACTGGATAACAATATGAACAGGATTTAAAGTGGGTATTCCCTCAAAGGCAGAAGGAAAAGATAGAAACAGTATTTGCAGAGATACTGGTTGAGAATTTCCTCAAACCCATTAAAAACTTATCAAAATACAGATTACAACTACTAAGTAAAATAAATACAATGAGAACCACACTTAGTCACGTCATGGTTTACTGAAAATCAAAGACAAGAAACTATTTAAAGTAGCAAGAAGGAAAGAATCTAACTTTTCAAGAGAAATAATGGAAGGTTGTAGCTAGCATTTTCCTGCCTTGCCCATAGCCAGGACAAATCTCTGTCACCCACCAGTCCCACAGCTGCTCAGACCCAACCAAGTAAACACAGAGACTTCTATTGGTTACAAACTGTATGGCCGTGGCAGGCTTCTTGCTAACTGTTCTTACAACTTAAATTAATCCATTTCTATAAATCTATACCTTGCCACGTGGCTTGTGGCTTACCGGCATCTTCACACGCTGTTTGTCATGGCGGCAGCTGGCAGTGACTCCCTTTCCCTTCCTGTTCTCTTAATTCTCCTCTGTGTTAGTCCCGCCTATACTTCCTGCCTGGCCACTGGCCAATCAGTGTTTTATTTATTGACCAATCAGAACAATTTGACATACAGACCATCCCACAGCAGAAGGTAATATAAGTCTTTAAATATGGTGAAAAACTGCCAAAAGACCCAGTAAAATACCCTTTAAAAAATGAAGGCAAGATTACTGTGACTCACACTTATAATCTTGGCACTCCAAAGGCTGGAGCAGAAGGTTCAGGAGTTCAAGGTCAGCCTCCACTATCTAAGTAGTACAAAGCCAGATTAAGTTACTTGAGACCCCATCTCAAATAAAAACAAAAACAACAAAAAAAGTTAGTAAATTAAATACATTTTCACACAGTTGTTGGGGTTAACATATTGCCAGTCTTCCTATAAAATAAGAAAAAAATTAAAGATATTTAATTTAGCTGCTCAGTTTTAAATTTTTCTTTTCTTTTTTAAAGGATTTGTTCATTTTCATGTACGTTGGTATTTTGCCTACATGTATGTCTGTGCGAGGACTTCAGATCCCCTGGAACTGGAGTTACAGATGGTTGTGAGCTGTCATGTGGGTTCTGAATGGATCCTCTGAAAGAGCAGCCAGTGCTCTCAACCACTGAGCCATCTTTTCAGCCCTTCTTTTTCTTTTTTGGGACAGTCTGTGTAGCCCTGGCTGTCCTGAAACTATGTAGACCAAGCTCGTCTTAAATTCAAAGATTTACCTCTGCCTCCAAAGTGCTAGGATTAAAGCTCTACTCCAACACACCTGGCTCAAATGCTTTATTATTATTTATTTACTTATTTATTTAATTTGTGTGTGAGGGTGATGGGTGTGTATGCTTCTGTCATGGTACACATGTGAAGGTCAGAGGACAACCTTTGGGAATCAGTTCTTTCCTTCCACTGTGGGATCAAACAGTTTGATCTGGAGATCAAACTCAAGTCATCAGACAATATGACAAACACTTTTACCTTCTGAGTCATCTTGCCAGCTCAAGAAAAAAACTTCTTTTGAGACAGGGTCTTGCTATATAGCCCTGGTTGGTCTGGAACTCACCTTACAGACAAGACTGCAATTAAACTGCAGTGATCCTTCTGCCTCTGCCTCCCGAGTGTTGGGATGAGAGGTATGTGCCACACATGACTAAAATAAGCAACACTACAAGTCATTCTTCAAGCTAAAGAAAAATGATCCCATATATGCAAAGATGCTCAGGAAGGAAATGCAAAACTACAAGTATGGCCAGTATGGTATGGCCAGGTACGGTGGAATATGCCTTTAATCCCAGGATTTGGGAGGCAGAGACAGGTGGATCTCTGTGAGTTGGAGACCAGCCTGGTCTACATAGTGAGTTCCAGAACAACCAGGGCTACATAGTGAGACTCTGTCTCAAAAAAGCAAAAACCAATCCAAAACAGAATGAAAAAAAAAAAAGAAAACCAAAAACAGGAAGTAGCTGGGCATGGAAGCATGTACTGTAGTTCCTGGTATTCCATAGGTAGAAGCAAGAGGATTGCTTGAACCCAAGAGTATTTTCTTTTCTTTTCTTTTTCAGAGCTGAGGACCGAACCCAGGACCTTGTGCTTGCTAGGCAAGTGCTCTACCACTGAGCTAAATCCCCAACCCTGAACCCAAGAGTATTTATTTATTCACTTGTTATTTTTCTATCTGTGTGAGTATATGCCACCGGTATATAGGTAGCTAAGAAACCAGAAGAAGGTGTCAGATTCCTTGGAGTTATATGTGGTTGTAAGTAGCCTGATATGGATGCTGGGATCCAAAGTCAGGTTCTCTGGAAGTGTAGCAGGGTCTCTTAATTGCTGTGATCTCTCTCTAACCCTTAAACCCAAGAGTTTGAGGCTATCCTGGGCAAAACAGTGAGATCTTGTTTTAAAACCTTAAAAGATATCAATAGCCAACTAAACAAACAAAAACTAAACAATAATAACATACCCACTAGAATGGGCATAATCCAAAGGCATTATAATCACATGTGTGCTGCCACTTTGGAGCTAGTTTGAAAGAACTGCAAGATATTTCATGTATATCCTGTAAGTACTAAGATAGGTATGCACCAGTTTATAGGTATACACCAGTTTATGTGGTGCTGAGGAATGAACTCAAAGTCCTGAACGCTAGGTAAGCACTCTACCAATGGTGCTACATCCCTAGCCTTCACACTTGAGTAAATCTACATTGACAGAAAGATTAGTGACGACTCTGGTTGGAAGGGAAAACAGGGTACCTGGGAGTTACGATTAAAAGGTAGGGTGTTCAAACTAGGTCTGATGTTGCAGGACTGTAATCCCAGCTATTAGATCTACCACTGTAGGGCAATTAGCCACCACCTTCTGCAGTTTCTCTCTCATCTTGGGCCCAAGCCAATCAGAGCTACAGTTTTATATCCTATCTAGTGCCTTCTCTAAACTGCTAGATTCCTAGCACTTAACAGCCCCAGGGTAGGACAAGATAATAGGATCAGCTTCCTGCTGCCCAGGTCCAAGGCAACCTGAGTCAAAGTCTTACAGCCTATTTAGGGCCTTCTCCAAACTGCTAATGTTAGAAAACCTCTCCTTTAAAAGTCTACAAAAGGACCAGGCATGGTGGGAAAGGCCTTTTATCCTAGTACTGGGGAGGCAGAGGCAGAAGCAGGAGGATCTCTGTGAGTTCGAGCCCAGCTTGGCCTAGATAGCATGTTCCAGGCCAGCTTTTTATTAAACCAATTTGAGTGACAAATCTTCACAGTGTGTATAGAAGGATTATTCCACAGCAGACATGCTGTGGGATGGTCTGTATATCAAATTACTCTGATTGGTCAATAAATAGACCACTGATTGGCCAGTGGCCAGGCAGGAAGTGTAGGCAGGACTAACAGAGAGGAGAATTAAGGGAACAGGAAGGGAAAGGGAGTTACTGCCAGCCGCCGCCATGACAAACAGCATGTGAAGATGCCAGTAAGCCACGAGCCACGTGGCAAGGTATAGATTTATAGAAATGGATTAATTTAAGCTGTAAGAACAGTTAGCAAGAAGCCTGCCATGGCCATACAGTTTGTAAGCAATATAAGTCTCTGTGTTTACTTGGTTGGGTCTGAGCGGCTGTGGGACTGGCAGGTGACAGAGATTTGTCCTGTGGGCCAGGCTACAAAACTCTAGCTACAAATGGCGTCCAACGTATTGGCAAGAGTTTCCACCTAAAACCTGACAAAAAAGATTCTAAAACGGAGCTAAAAACAGTTCCTAGTTGTTTCTCTCAAGTTAGTGGCAGCCTGCATGTTTGAGCTACTATGGCGGGTTCCTGGTGTGCGTGCTCGACCTGCAATATGGTGGGAATGAGGCCTCTACAAGTGGCACATTAAGCTGTGTGGTGGATTTAGCCTTTGCTAGTACAAAACAAAAAAAAAAGAGGTTTCTGGGCTACATGCTGCTTTGATAGAAGCATAGACCCACTATTTCTGAGAGTTGATGGCTCCCAGAGCTGTTGGAAAACATACCACCGCCATGTTGGGAAGCTGAAGTGGGCGGAGCCAGCAGCCACAGTGCCGTTTCAGTCTTAAAATGCTGCAGTTTAAAGCAATAGGCTCAAGGTAATATAAAAAATAAGCCACGTAAAGATGGCTACCACACAGAGAATCTGGATTATGTTGTCTTTGATATTTGTAACTGAAGAAAAACATTTGATTATAAAAGCTGTTGAGTTATGCCAAAATGTATATTTTAAAGGTACCTTGACTTCAAAATTTGGATGTAAGGATACGTTGCTTTGCAAAGGAAGCTCTGCTTTTGTTTCCACAGAAAGCAAGAGGCTATGGATTTGTTCCAGATTAAGATACATCAAGTTTGACCAGCCAAGACCCCGAAGGTCTCCGATGACACCATGGCCCAGATGATCCAACATCCAGAATGGTTTGAAGGCAACTGGCTCAGACAATACAGCCTCATGGACTACTCCATAATCCTAAAATTTTCTTTGTGTCCCCATAAGATACAGTGCCCCCCTCCAGCAGGAAGTAGTAAGAGAAGCTACGCCCAAATTCCCAAATATACCAAGCTGGAAATGGATTAATTTAAGCTGTAAGAACAGTTAGCAAGAAGCCTGTCATGGCCATACAGTTTGTAAGCAATATAAGTCTCTGTGTTTATTTGGTTGGGTCTGAGCGGCTGTGGGACTGGCAGGTGAGAGAGATTTGTCCTGACTGTGGGCCAGGCAGGAAAACTCTAGCTATACAGACAGGCTTGGTGACAAATGCCTTTAAAGATTCAGAGTACTGTTTGCAGTGTCCTTAAAATTGCTGAGAATGGGTGTCATTCTCATGAAGTGGTTATTATAAAGCAGCTTCAATATTTCTAATATGATCATCTGGTTATTTTCTTAACTTTATTTTCTGCCAGGAAATAAAGTAATTTGAGACCGTGAAGGACAAGGAGAAGGAGGAGAAGGAGAGGCAGGTCTTAGATGAAAGAATAGGTGTGCAAGGAGTCATGGATGTCAGGTTTCAAACCTGGGCCAAAGATTGAGGTGACTATTTAATGCATCAAAGCTGATGTTGGCTGCCAGGTTCTCCCTGCATCCCTCAGACCCTACCAGTTACAGGACTCTCCTGGCTGGCATACCCTGCTCCCTACCCTGAATTCTCTAGTCCAGGAGCTGTACTGGGCTGCCCTTCCCCTAGCTGCCCTTCCCTATATAATCCAGACATTTTGGTTATCTGGTCATTCTTTCTTGTCTAGTAATTTTTTGGGTCTCCCGGCTGTTGTACCTGTTTTCCCTCCTTCCTCTTCTCACATGGCCCAGCTCAGTCTGGCCATGTCCACTCAGTACTCTCCCAGATGTCCCTACCCCTGGTTATGCTCTCCCACAAATTTATAATAAGCTTTCTCCTCCAACATACGTAGGAGCATTCATGTCCCTTTCTTTTCTTTTTTTTCATTCAATGGAAAGTCCTAGAAAGAATATATATGAGGGGAAATGTAAGTGAAAGCAGACTTCAAAATACAACTATCTTTGGGATTTAAAATAAATTTGAGTACCAGAGTGTGTTTTTGTGGAAGGTTCTCGCTATTCAGACACTTAAAGAACTCAGGGTATAATAAACCAGGTTTCGCTGGGTGGTGGTGGCGCACGCCTTTAATCCCAGCACTTGGGAGGCAGAGGCAGGCGGATCTCTGTGAGTTCGAGGCCAGCCTGGTCTCCAAAGTGAGTTCCAGGAAAGGCGCAAAGCTACACAGAGAAACCCTGTCTCGAAAAAACCAAAAAAAAAAAAAAATTAAATAAAAAATAAATAAATAAATAAATCAGGTTTCTCAGCTAGCTTCCGCTATGAGTTTGACACGAGTTATCTGAGGGAGTTTCAATTGGGGCATTGCCTTGATTGGATTGGCCTGTGGGGGCATTTTCTTGATTGTTGATTGATTCCACCACTAGGCAGGTAGTCATGAGTTGTATAAGCAAACAAGCTGAAGCCCAGCAATGGTGGTGTATATCTTTAGTTCCATCACTCAGGAGGCAGAGGCAGGCAGATCTCTGAGTTTGAGGCCAGCCTGGTCTACAGAGTAGGTTCCAGGACAGCCAGGACTACACAGAGAAACCCTGTGTCCAAAAAAAATGAAGTTAAACAGGGTCAAACATAGTTAATATGGTTGGGCCTGTTAGTGAAGGCCTACAATCCCAGCACTCAGAAGGCAGGGGAATCAGAGTGGGGAGGCCAACCTGGGCTATATGTGAGACCCTTTCTGAATCTCATGGGCGGTGGGCAAGTGTTCCATCAGTGAGCTAACTCTTCGCCCATGAATGATCTTCATTCCCTTCCTTTTAAGCATATATAAATATATATATATGATATATATATATATGTATCTATGTATTTTTAAAATTACGTTTATTTGGTGTGTGTGTGTGTGTGTGTGTGTGTGTGTGTGTGTGTGTATGAGCGTGTATATTAGTGTTCCACAGCATACTTGTGAAGGTCAGAGGACAAGTTGTAGGGTTTGCTTTTTTCCTTTACCATATGCATCCCAGGGACCAAACTTAGGTTGTTAGCCTTGGTGGCAAGGAGCTTACCTGCTGAGCCATCTCAATAGCTCTGTTTTTTTGTCTTTTTTGTTACTATTTTATTTCATTGTTCTTGGTTGTCCTGGAACTCCAACTCAAAGAGATCCTCCTGCCACTGCCTCCTAAGTGCAGGGATTAAAGCAATGCACCACCACGCCTGGCTATTATGTTTTTTGAGTCAAGGGTTATCTATGCAGTTTAGGCTGACCTCGAACTCCTGATATATCCGAACACAGTCCAGGGATGGACTGTGAGTAGAATTCTGAGTGCTTGTGACAATACTCCAAGAAAACAAGAGTCTTGTGACCTCAGTTTCTTCAAAGCATGGAATTGTTCTTAGAATGTGGTTTCGTGCTCCTCCCAGGTGTAGCACTGAAGAGTTTACTTCAGATCACTCATTCTTTTTGGGGGGTGTTTTTTGAGACAGGGTTTCTCTGTGTGGCTTTGGAGCCTGTAGCTGGAGTTTTCTCCAGTCCTGCCAGGGCAATCAGGTACATTTTGGACTTACCAAAATAGGATAGATAATGGAATATTTTCTCTGAGTTTGTCAAAAGCAAATGGACTAGACATTGTTGAGGTATTTATTGCTTGTATATATTGTATATAGTTATTGTACTTATTGTATATAGTTTCTCTTATATTAGTTATAACTTTTTTCTTTTTATTAGAATAAAAAGGGGAAATGTGGTGATATTTTATTTGTGCTGAAATGTGGTATTTTATTTGTATGTTAATAAATAAAGTTTGCCTGGAGATCGGGGGGAAAGTGAGCCATAAACAGAAGTCAGGTGGTGGTAGCACGTGCCCTTAATATGATCACACAGCAAGGAGATTCTCTGTGTGTTCAAGGACACAGCAAGCATGGTGACCTGAGCCTTTAATCCCAGTATCAACCATAGACACCTGGAGGTCTGTATAGACAGGCAGTCACGAGGAAGTCATGTGGCTGGGCTTAGAGCCAATGAGAAGGCAGAACAGGAAGGCAATAAAAAGACAGGTCAGACACAAAGAAACTCTCTCTGTGGAAGCTACTGCTGGTGGTAAGCTAAGGCTAGTTGTGGCTATTCACTCTGATCTCTTTGGCTATTACCTCTGTATTTGGCTCTGTGTTTCGTATTTAATAAGACTGTTTAGAAATTCGTCTACAGGAGCCTTTCCTGGAACTCACAGAGATCTGCCTGCCTCTGCCTCCTGAGTGCTGGGATTAAAGGCGTGCGCCACCACCGCCCAGTGCAGATTACTCATTATTGCTTGCTGATGTTATTCAATTAAATGTTTATAAACTATCCTTTACATGCCTCTATGGAGAAACACGTTTTGCCATGTGTGCTTGTGATTGTATACAATTTGAATTCTTGAGAACTTTACTCCAAGTGACCTTTCTTAATTCTGAGTATAAATTGTTGGAGGCTCTGAATAAAGTTGGCTATTGCATAAGACTTTAGTCCACCCCATTTATCTGTTTATCTGCTCCATTCTCCTAGGTCCCACTGCCTCTAGAGTGGTAACACTGATCCCCCTGCATCCAACTCTAATGCTTGGCTTAAATATTTTTTAATTTGATTTTAAGTGTATGGGTGTTTTGCCTACATGTTTGTCCATGTATCCTCATGCAGGCCTGGTGCCTTCAGAGGCCAGAAGAAGGCATTTGATCCCCTGGGACTGGAGTTAAAGATGTTGTGATCCCTTAGAATTGAACCCTTGTTCACTGGAAGAATAACCACTGAGCCATCTCTCTGGCTGTTTTTTCTTTGTTTTTTTTTTTTTTTTTTAGAGACAAGTCTCACACTTGTAGCCTAGCCTCACCTTGAACTGATGGCAATCATTCTTCCTCAACCTCTCAAGTGTTGAGATTGCAGGTGTGAGCCACCATGCTTGGCCATAAATGGTTTTAAATATAAGACACAAATACATTAAAATATGGAAAAAGTTATACCATGAAAAAAACCTATGTCTAAGAAAGCTAGAGTGGCTATATTCATGCCAGATAAAGCCAACTTCTGAAGGGACATTACTAGTGACAGAAGGGTACTTCATAAGAATAAAAAGGTAAATTAAGAATAAATGTATTCAATGACAGCTTCAAAATACCTACAACAAAATCTGACAGAGCTGAAGAAAGAAACATGAATCCATTATTACAGTTGAACATTGCAATAACTTTCTGAGTCGGCAAGACAAGAATGGGGAGATGGGAAATCATTGAGGGTATTGAGACTTGTATTGCACTAACAAGTACTTTGACCTCCTTGACACAGAACTCTGTACTTAACTACAGAATATGGAACACACAGGGCACATTGCAAAGCTAACCATATGCTAGACCTTAAAACAAGTCTCAATAAATTCAGAAGAAATTAATAAACTGTCACTACAATGGAATCACATGAAAAACCAATAGCAAAAAGATAATCTGTAAAATGTTATAGTTGGCCTTCTGTATTCATAGTTCCATATCTATGGATCCAATCAACCAACCAATATTTCTTTTGAAGCTTGAGGATAATTTTATAATATAATTGTGTTAGAGTTTAAAAAAATTCAGGGCAGGCAAGCAATAAATCTTATCAGCTGCACAGAGGAGAAGAGAGAAGAGAAGGAAAATTAGCTATTTCAGTTGAGTTAAGCTGACATGGAGGTCAACCATATGGTGGACAGATAGCCACTCAGCCAGAAGGGGAGCCTTAGAGAAAAACTAAGGGAGCACAAAGTACCAGAAAAAAGCTTATGTAGGCTCTGGCCAGCGTTCAAAAGAAAGAGACAGAAAAGGAGAACTTATGTCTTGGACTCAGAAAGGTGGGCAAGCCCAACAGACTTACAGCCTGTAGCGTCTGTGCTTAGAAAATATTTTTCTGGGGCTGGAGAGATGGCTCAGAGGTTAAGAGCACTGTCTGCGCTTCCAGAGGGCCAGGGTTCAATTCCCAGCACCCACATGGCAGCACATGACTGTCTGTAACTCCAGATCAGGGGACCTGACACCCTCACACAATGCACATGAAATAAATTTAAATAAATTATTAAAAAATATTTTTCTAATTCCATATATACTAGATACAAATTTCCCTCCTTGCTATTATTCTCTAAATAACACAATGTAAATAGTATTTTATAGCATTTACATTGTACTAGTAACATAAGCAATTTAAAGATGGTTTCAGTTGTAAAGGAGCACTGCTAAGTTACCCATGGAACAGAAAATAACTTTCACCAGTGCTCATGCAGGCAATCCTCAGTAAGCCCAGTGGGGCATAAAAAGCCAACAAAACAAAACAAAAAGCAAGACAAGAAAGTAGCATGCTGGGGATGCTATGAATGTGTTGCTCTGATTGATTGATAAATAAAATGCTGATTGGCCAATAGCCAGGCAGGAAGTATAGGCAGGACAAGCAGAAAAGAGAATTCTGGGAACAGGAAGGCTGAGTCAGGAGTCACCAGCCAGACACAGAGGAAGCAAGACATAAAAGTACTGGTCACAAGCCACATGGCAACTTATAGATTAATAGAAATGGGTTAATTTAAGATGTAAGAGCTAGTCAATAGTTAGCTTGAGCTAATGGCTGAGCAATTTTAATTAATATAAGCTTCTGAGTGATTATTTTATAAGTGGGCTGCGGAACTGCGGGGGGCCCAGTGGGACTGGAGAAAATTCCAGCTACAGTAGCAGGGCAGGATTCTACTCTGGGTTCCCTCCCCTGTCAAGACTACTTTCACTTTGGCTTTGTAAACCTTTCCTGCTTTTTTTAAAAGAAGGAAGTCACAGAAGAACTTCATGGGAAGAAGGAGTTCAGCAGCAGTGGGAGGCAGAATAGAGGGAAATGTGGGTGAAATGACAAAATTACATTATAAACATGTATGAAACTGCCAAGGAATAAAACAACAAAAAGAAAAATGCAGATTGTTAATTAAAACAATAAAGTCAGCCAGGCAGTGGTGGCACATGCCTTTAATCGCACTACTTGGGATGCAGAGGTAGGCAGATTTGAGTTTGAGGCCAGCCTGGTCTACAGAAAGAGTTTCAGGACAGCCAGGGCTACACAGAGAAACCTTGTCTTGAAAAACCAACCAACCAACCAACCAACCAACCAATCAACCAAACAAAATAATAATAAAGTCTGTGGAATAATTCTTTTGTACACTGTGCATATGTATTGATCTCATTGGTTTAATACTAACTGTCCAATAGCTAGGCAGGAAGAGGTTAGGGAGAGAGCCAAACTGGGAGAACGCTGGAAGAAAGGCGGCGTCACCAGCCAGGCTCAGAGGAAGCAGATGAACATGCTGTACTGAAAAAAGGTACTGCCATGTGATAGAGTAACCCATAAGAAATATGGGTTAATTTAAGTTGAAATAACTAGTTAGTAACAAGCCTAAGCTATTGACCAAATAATTAATAATAAGTCTCTGTGTGGTTATTTGGGGAGGCAGCTGGTAGGACAGAGCTGACTGGAGGGTCAGAGAAAGTCTGCCTATAAAAGTCAATTCCTCATGGTAAAAAATATTGTAAAGGATGATGTGCATACATTATATGCTGATTTGTGCCATTTTATACATGGGCATTTTTTTTTTTTTGAGACAGGGTATCATGTACTCCAGATTGGCTCCAAATTCAACTACATAGCTGAGGAAAACCTTAAATTTCTGATCTTCTTGCTTCTATGCTTCAAGTACTGGGATTATAGGTGTATACCACCCGGCCCCATTTACACAGTGCTGGGGATGGAACCCAGGACTTTGAATGCTGGGGAAACACTCTACCAACTGAGCTCCATCTTTGTATAAGGGACTTCAGCATCCATGATTTTCCTATCCATAGAGGGTCCTGGAACCAATTTCCTGTGGATAACAAACAAGGACTGTACTTGTGAATTAAACAAAATGCTTCTAAGTAAGTTATTGGTTAAAGGAGAAATTAGAAAATATTTCAGCCGGGTGGTGGTGGCGCACGCCTTTAATCCCAGCACTTGGGAGGCAGAGGCAGGCAGATCTCTGTGAGTTCAAGGCCAGCCTGGTCTACAGATCGAGATCCAGGACAGGCACCAAAACTACACGGAGAAACCTTGTCTGGAAAAACCAAAAAAAAAAAAAAAAAAAAAAAAAAAAAAAAAAAAAAAAAGAAAAAAGAAAAAAGAAAGTATTTCAAAGTGAAAAACAAAACAGAACACATTTAAATGTGTAGAAGATAGCTGAAGCTATGCTGAAAGTAAAAGGTCTAGCTTTAAATGCTTACATGAGAACAGAAGCTGCTGTGGGAGTACACAGATACAGACTCAGCTAATTGGGAGACTGAGATGGAAGGGTTGTTTGAGTTTGAGATCAGCTTAGGTAATATAACAAGATTTTGTCTCAAAAACAAAAACAAAACAAAATAGTTTTAAGGCCGGGTATGGTCTATGCCTTTAATCTTAGCACTCTGGAGGTAGAGGCAAGTAGATCTGTTTCAGGTCAGCCTAGTTTACATAGCAAGTTCCAGGCCAGCCAGGACTACATAGAGAGATGCTGTCTCAAACAAACAAACAAGCAAACAAACAAAAGAGTTTTAAGGGGCTAGTAAGATGGCCTGGAGCAGCAGCAGTTCTCAACTGGTGGGTTGCAACCCCTTTGGGGGATTGAACGATCCCTTCACAGGGGTCAAATATCCGATATTTATATTATGATTCATAACAGTAGCAAAATTACAATTCTGAAATAGCAATGAAAACAATTTTTGGCTGGGGGTCATCACAACATGAAGAACTGTATTAAAGGGTCGCAGCATTAGGAAGGTTGAGAACCACTGGCCTAGAGGGTAAAGATGCTTGGCACCAAAGCCTGATGACCCAAGTTTAATCCTCAGAACTGACATTAGGGAAGGAGAGAACTGACTCCCACAAGCAGTCCTCTGATTTCAGCACATGTGCTGTGACACATACAGAGACACATACCACCACCACCACCACCACCACCACCACCACCACCACCACCACCACCACCACCACCAACACAACCAAACAACCCAAGCAGTAGGCTGGAGAGAAGGCTCAGTGGTTAAGAGTGTATACTACTTTTGTAGAGGAGCTGAGTTTAATTCCTAGCACCCATATCAGGTGGCTCAGAACTGCCTCTAACTCCAGGAGGATCCAATGCCTCTGGCCTCCAAGGGCACCTGCATTTACATGCACATACTAACATATAGACACTCACAAGTATACATAATTAAAAATGTAAAAATAGGGCTGGAGAGATGGCTTTGCAGTTAAAAGTATTTGTTTCAAGTTTTTTTGACTGGTTCCCAGAATCTACATGATGACTTACAACTCTCTGTAACTCCAGTTCTAGGGGTTCCAATGCCACATTTTGGTCTCTGCTGGCCCTACGCAAAAACATGGTGCACATACATGCATTCAGGTACTCATATACATAAAATAAGGATAATTTATGAAAAATAATAGTAAAAATAAAATCTCAAAACCATAGCATTTTAAAATAATTTATTTTTATTTTATGTGCATTGGTGTTTTGCCTGCATGCATGTCTGTGTGAGGGTGTCAGATCTTGGGGTTATAGACAGTTGTTAGCAGCCATGTGGGTGCTGGGAATTGAACCTGGGTCCTTTGGAAGAGCAGTCAGTGCTCTTAACTGCTGAGCCATCTCTCCAGCCTCTAACCATAAGCATTTTTAAAAATTAGTGAGGCTATACCCAAGTTAACTGGAAAAAGATGACCAAATTATAATTCAAAAATAAACAAAAGAAAAGAAATTGTTAGGAGTGGAAATGGACAAAATAGAAAATGGACAAATAATTCAGAAAAATTAATGAAATCCCCCAAATTAGTTATTTTAAAATTGATAAGCCTTTATCCTAAGATGACCAAGAAAATAAGGAAGATAGGGAGAGACTGGGTTAAGAGGACTGCTTGTGCCCAGAAAAAGAAAAAAAGAAAAAGGAAAAGAAACATTACCAGTACTTGGAATAATAGCTATCACAACTGAGCCTATAGATGTTAAAAGTATGAGTTGGTATGATTTTCATTAAATAAAGGGGTATGTTAACTTAAATGAGATGGACAAATCTCTAAAAGAGGTTAAGTACACATATGATCAACACTGACTCAAACAACAACAAAAATTCTAAATGGACAAATATCTAATTTAAAGACATTGAATTTCTTTCTTTTTATTGTTTTATTGTTTTTAGACAGGGTCTCCCTATGTAGCCCTGGCTGTCCTGGATCAGAGATCCCACTGCCTCTGCCAACAGAGGCTGGCCTCAACTAACAGAGATCTGCCTGCCCCTTCCTCCTGAATGCTAGGATTAAAGGTGTGAGAAACACCACTCCAGGCTGACACTGAATTTCCAAGTAAAGCTTTCTGAGACAGGTGTTTAAGAGCTTCCTGGTAGAGCCCATGAAGTCCTGGGCTCAATACCCAGCACAGTAAAAATCCAAAATCACACCACCAAAATAAACAAAATGATCAAACCAACCAACCAACTAACCAACTAACCAACCAACCAACCAACCAACAAAACAAACCAACTAAACAACAACAAGAAATGTACTCTAGCTAGGTGTGGTGGTGGACACCTTTAATCCCAGCACTCAGGAGGCAGAGACAGGCAGATCTCTGAGCTTGTGGCCAGCCTGGTCTACAAAGTGAGTTCCAGGACAGCCAGGGCTGTTACACAGAGAAATCCTGTGTCAAAAACAAAACAAAACAGCACCCAGACTTAATCAAAATTAAAGAACATTCCAGGTTCAAATGGCTTCCCTAGTTAACCTATGAAATACATAAAACAATATCAAGTATGCTCACTCTTTAACAAAAGGAGGACAGAATATTTTCCAATTTATTTTTCTGATGTTCAATTACCAAAATCAGAAAAAAAATATTATTAGAAAACTGCAGTACAATTATCTGTCATGAATATAGGTACAAAAATTGAACATACAGGTTGGTGAGATGGTTCAAAGTTGTACACACACACACACACACACACACACACACACACACACAGAGAGAGAGAGAGAGAGAGAGAGAGAGAGAGAGAGAGAGAGAGAGAGAGAGAGAGAGAGAGAGAGAGATGCTTTTAATCCCAGCACTCAGGAGGGGCAGGTAGATCTCGGTGAGTTTGAGGCCAGCCTGGTCTACAGGTCAGGGAAGGCTACATAGTGAGGCTCTGCCTCAAAAAACCAAAAAAACCAAAAAACCAAAAATAGAAAGACAAACAAATAAACAAATAAAAAACAAAAACCTTGAAGATGTTAGTAAATGAGATTCAGCAAAACAAAAGGAAGGACATCCTGTGACCAAGCAAGGATGTAAATCCAGTTTAACATTCAAAATCAGTGTGATCGCTGCATGAACAGAAAGGAGGGAAATTCCATGTTTATCTCAATAGACTCAGAAGTATCATTTGAAACATTCTGTTACTCCCCTTACAATTTAGCCTTTAGAAGAAAAATTCTGACAGCTAGGATAAGCTTAAAAAATACATTTATGACAACCTTCACAGCTAATGTCACATTTAATGGGAAGACATTAAATTCTATCTATGATGGAGAACAAGGATGTTTACTTTCACCACTTTCTTTCTTTTTAAATAGAGCAAACATAGATATGTTAAAGAAAAGTGAGAAAAAACTCCTAAGATGCCAGGTGGTGGTAGCACACACCTTTAATCCCAGTACTCAGAAGGCAGAGGTAGGCGAGTTTCGAGGCCAGCCTGGTCTACAGAGCTAGCCCAGAAAAGCCATGTCTACCCTGTCTCAGAAAACAAACAAACAAAAAAGAACTCCTAAGAGTGGGAGGGGTTCCCCATTTGTATTCAAAATTTATAGGCCCTAGCCAGTGCAATAAGAAAAGAAAAGAAATAAAAAGGCAGTTGGGCATGGTGGTGCATGCCTTGGCAGAGGCAGGTGGATCTCTATTGGGTATTATGGGGCTCCAGCCCCTCGATAGTCCCCTCCCAGGGTCCAGGAAAAATCTACAATCAGCTGATAATTTAATCTTTGATGATATGAAATGAATATACTTATATGAAACCCCTTAGTCCATACACTTTATTATTCTGAGTCAGTTCTCTCTCTACAAGCTTCTACTCTGCTCTTGTGCCTAGGTTCTTTCTTGCCTGATTTCTCTCTACATGTATCTGCTCTTCCCTCTAAGTTCTATCTTAATTCTCTCATCTTAGTTCTGCCCCATCTAGGTTCTCATCCATCTAGTTCATTCCCATATTAGCTACTCTCCCATCTCCTTCTCTCTCATCTTGTTCTTTCCCATCTTCCATCTTGTTCCTCTAGTACTCTCTTTTAGCCCTTTAATCTAGTTCTTCCCATATAGTTTGTTCCTCTCCAGCTCTTACCCATCTAGTTCTTCCATTCTCTTTTCTCTTCTCTGTCTCATCCTCAAGATCTATATCTAATCCTCCTCCAAGTCTCTTATATACCCCTCAGTTCTCCTTAAGTCTCTAAGGTATTCAGTTATAAACCCAAGCAATAGCAATCCTCCCCCTCCATCCAGGTCACCAGGCTTGAATTCCTACAGGGTCATAAAGGCAGGTAAGAATTTTCCTCAGGCAGTGACACATCAGGCTTTCTTTTACAACCCAAAAATGGAGAGGTTAAAGGAGGAGGTCAACTGAGAGCTAATGAGTGGTTAGTATATCAAGAAGGGGATCTGTGTGCTCAGTCTACATTCCTAGAAGTGGTTAGGTAAGAAGTTAGGAATCTATAGTGTTAGTAATAGAAAAGGAGGGTCTCAGATAGCACAAGAAATAAAGCTATCTATCTGACGTAGGGAACAGGCGTCGTTTCCACCTTAGTTCAGGAGATCGTTTGGCCTTGGATGATTTATAGGTATTTTAGATAAATACACTGTTAGGAGTTCTTGGAAGTACTCATAGCATTACAAGAAAATCACTGTAGGAACCAGCTAATATATATAATATATATAAAAGCTAAAATATCACCAAGACTTCTTAAGGCATGGCTTGACCTTTGGACAAGTCCTTGACCTTTCCAAGTAGTAGCTTTTGTGATAGTAGCT